GATTTTTGCCTGTGAGTCACATATGCTTTTGTCCTGTTGTATAATGTAAGAATCCACCTTCAAATATTGTTTTTTACTAGCATGGTTAGTTTAGCAATGGCTAATTAACTCTAGCTTAATATCTCTGGAAAGTTTGCTCCATAAATTAGACAAGCATGTAAACATTGTAGACTAAAGAATGAATACCACACTAGAATATTACTACCAAATCCCAATTGATGTGTTTTTCTGTGCCTTTCTGCAATTTTCATAAAAAATAGTATAGTACATCCATGCTCACCCAGCTTCCTTCCTCTTCTTTCTCCTGTGCATGTGAACATTGACAAACTAGATGTGAAAAGTACTGGATAAAAAAAAGGCTCTTTTACAAGGGCTGGCTGAACAAAGCCCTTTACATATTGATACTTGGTACCAAAATGTCAGTAACAGTGTGGTTTTAGTTTTATTTTTAAGCTGATTATCTACTGGAGAATGTAAAATCTTTATTCTGTTACATAATAATCTTACGGAATCGGAATTCCAGATAACTCCATCAGCTTTGTCTTTGAAAATGCTAATCATGGTTTTCCAAAACTGTTCAACATTAGCCAGCTGATGGTGTCCAACTTAATGCCCAAGCATCAGATTTTCAAAGGGATAATTTTTTCCTAGGTAGGGTTTTCTCATCGGCTTACCAAAGCATGAAAGCTTCAGAAAGGCAAATGTGAAAAATGAAAAAGATAAATGCTGATGCTAAAAGAGTCTGATTTTCCTGTCTTGAAAGCTAAGCTTTCAAAGCCTTTGTGGATGAGGGGAAATGATTTTGAAGGCTTCTAGGTCTTGTTTTGAAAGCTTGTTCTAATGTGGACAGGGCTGTCTGAGTCTTTTCAGGCTTCTGTGACAATAGGCTGGGTGGCTTATAAGCAAAAGAAATATATTTCTCACAGTTCTGGAATTTTGTCCAAGATCAAGGCTCTGGCCAATTTGGTGTCTGGTGAGGACCCACTTTAATCTCACCTGGTGGAGGGAATAAGGGAACTCTATGCGTCTTTTACAAAGGCACTAATCCCATTCACAAGGGCTCCACCCTCTTGACCTAATCACCTCCAAAAGCCCCACCTCCTAGTACAATCACCTTGAGAATTAGGTTTCAACAAGAATTTAGAGGGAGACACGAATATTCACAGACCACAGCAGAGGGACCTACTAATTACTAAAAATAGACCCAAGGCTAATATGCATACAGGCAGTCTGTAAACTCCCACAGTCATCCCTCAGAGTTCTGGGGCTTTTCGCTTTGACTTGTCTAGCCTTCATCTGATAAACATTGTTGAGAGAAGAATGTGAGAAACACACTAAAATCCTGGTTTGAGAAACACGAGTAGGATAGAGAGCAGAGAAATCAGTGCCTATTTTGCTGAATTTGTAGGAGAAATTGACCTGAAACCATGCGAAGTTTGGAGTGGACAGATTCTCTGACTCACACTAGAACTTGATGCTCAGCCTGTGGTCCAGAGCAGAAGCATCACCCAGATGGCCACATGTTAGAAAGCAGACTCGGGACCCTCCCTGACCTACTGGGTCAGAATCTGTGTTTGATTCAGGTTCCATGTGATCTATTCACATCAAAGTTGGAGGAGGAACTGTTCTCAAATACTTACTTTCCTTCCCACTTTCTCAATATTCTCCTCCCCCATAACTTTTTTTCCCCGCCTGAGCTAATCAGCCCTTTAGGAATCTTGTGGACTAGGAAAATGGCAGTCCATGCACTCTGAGGTCCACCCTAGTTGGGGGTTAATTCTTTGATTTGGGTTCCAGTCCAGTGTCTAAAAGGAAGCATCCAGGTACTTCTTGTCACTATTCCCCTTGGTCACTGTGTCCAGGATGGAGTTTCCAAAACCATAAGCCTCAGGCACAGAGTCAAGACCATGCACTGAATTGCCCCATTCTTCCTGCCCAGGATCAAATGGCTGTCTGGAAATAGGCTAGAGGAGAGAGGGGCCCTCACCGGATTTGCATTCCACTCCTTCACTCCTGGCCCCTGACGTATAGTTGGCATTATTGTCCTTCAAAGAGATTTTCCTTTTTCTTTTCTTCCTTTTTTTCTTTTTTTTTCCTTTCTTTTTCTTTTTTTTTTTTTTTGGCCTATGAGGATACGTTTATTAAAGCTGGAAGATATTACTTAATTTAATAGTGGGGTGGTGGTTTGAAGGTATTGACATATAAGCTAAAAGTGATGGGCATTTCAGCCCAATTTTAAGTTGTTATTTTTTTCTAAATATATTTTATTGATTATGCTATTACAGTTGTCCCATTTCCCCCCTTCACTCCCCTCCACCCTGCTCACCCTCTTCCCCCCACATTCCCCCCCTTTAGTTCAAGTCCATGTGTCAAAAGTTCTTTAGCTCCTACATTTCCCATACCATTCTTGCCCTCTCCCTATTTCCTACCTACCATCTATGCTACTTATTCTCTGTACCTTCCCTCCCTGCCTCCTCCCACTCCCGTGTTGCTAACCCTCCATGTGATCTCCACTTCTGTGGTTCTGTTCCTGTTCTAGCTGTTTGCTTAGTTTGTTTTTGGTTTTGGTTTTGTTTTAGGTGTGGTTGTTAATAATTGTGAGTTTGCTGTCATTTTACTGTACATGTTTTTTATCTTCTTTTTCTTAAATAAGTCCCTTTAACGTTTCATATAATACAGGCTTGGTGATGATGAACCCCTTTAACTTGACCTTATCTGAGAAGCACTTTATCTGCCCTTCCATTCTAAATGAACACTTTGCTGGATAGAGCAATCTTGGATGTAGGTTCTTGCCTTTCATGACTTGGAATACTTCTTTCCAGCCCCTTCTTGCCTGCAAGGTCTCTTTTGAGAAATCAGCTGACAGTCTGATGAGAACTCCTTTGTAGGTGACTGTCTCCTTACCTCTTGCCGCTTCTAGAATTCTCCCCTTCATTTTTACCTTGGCTAATGTAGTTATGATGTGCCTTGGTGTGTTCCTCCTTAGGTCCAACCTCTTTGGGACTCTCTGAGCTTCCTGGACTTCCTGGAAGTCTATTTCCTTGGCCAGATTGGGGAAGTTCTCCTTTATTATTTGTTCAGATAACTTTTCCACTTGTTGCTCTTCCTCTTCCCCTTCTGGTACCTCTATAATTTAGATTTTAGAATGTTTAAAGATATCCTGGAGGTTCCTAAGCCTCTCCTCATTTTTTTGAATTCTTGTTTCTTCTTTCTTTCCTGTTTGTTTGGTTGTTTCTTTCTTCCTTCTGATCCACTCCATTGATTTGAGTCCCAGTTTTCTTCCCATCACTATTAGTTCCCTGTGTATTTTCCTTCATTTAACTTAGTGTAGCCTTCATTTTTTCATCAAATTTGTGACCAAAATCAGCAAATTCTGTGAGCATCCTGATCACCAGTGCTTTGAACTGTGCATCTGATAGGTTGGCTATCTCTTCATCACTTAGTTGAGTTTGTTCTGGAGCTTTGATCTGTTCTTCCATTTGGGCCATTGTGTGTGTGTGTGTGTTGTGCCTGTTATGTATGAAGGGTGGAGCCGTAGGTGTTCACCAGGGCAGGGAAACCCAGTCGCTGAGTTGTGATGTTATATGTGGGTGAGGGGTCAAAGAGGGAACAATGGCACCCGCTCTGCTCTCTGTCAGATTTCAGTCCCTTCCACTGCTTCCCCCAAGCAAACTTGACCCTTCTGGTGCTGATTCCTGGATGGGTGGGCTTGTATACATTCTAGGACCCTGTGGGTCTCTCCAACAAACTTACCTGTGAGGCTGGGAGTCTCTTCCTCCCCCTCAACCTCCACAGGTGTTTTGAGTCTTTATTTCCTTGCACTGGAGCCCTGGGTTGCACAGTCTGTCTCGCTCCCCAGTTTCACCTGGTTTATCTGTGGGCGAATGTAGGACCACCCAGTCCACCAGCCGCCTTGTGCCCCACTCCACAATCACCGCCTCGCTGGGTCTGCCTGCTGCCACCCCACTTGTGGGGTCTGCCAGCCTCCACCTGTGCTCCTGGGGTCCATCAGCTGCTGCCTTGCATGCCTAGGGTCCGCAAGCCACCACTTTTTTTGCTGTGACCCCTCTCCGTCCAGATGCCTGACTCCACCCCTCATACTGGTCTGGATGAATGTGTCTATTTTAACTCCTTGGTTGTTGGACTTTCATACAGTTCAATTTTCTGTCAGTTCTCGTTGTTATTTTGTTTCTGAATTGTTGTTGTCCTTATTTTGGTTGTGTGAGGAAGCACAGTATGTCTACCTACACCTTCATCTGTCTCTGAGCAGTCCCAGTCCACATTGTGATGCCTCCATTCCCCTTAAGTTATTTTTTAAGCCCAGAATCTTTTCCAAACCTAGAAAAGTGTCGTAACAATGTAAGAATTAGAGCTTAGAAAAAAATTGCAAGATGATAAGAGATATGATTTGCTAATGTGTATGTTCCTCCCAGAGAGGATTGTCTCTTGGAGGCAATTTCCCCCTTGGGCATTTGGCAACATCTAAAAACAGTTTTGCATGTCAGTCCTGGGGGGTTGTTACTGGCATCTAGTGGGTAGAAGTCAGGGATGCTGCTAAACATTCTGCAATGCACAGGACAGCTCCTCCCATGACAAAATTACCCAGTCCAAAATGTCGCTGGTGCTGGGATTGAGACCCTCTTCTAGAACACTGGTTCTCAAACTTGACTACATATTGGAGTCACCGGGGGAATGTTGTCTCTTGATGCCTCATTCTCTCCCTAGCAGTAAGTAGCCCAGAATGCCGCTGGGACCTCAGAAATAAAACCTCCCTTAGGTGATTCCATGTGTAGCTAAGTTTGAGAACCACTGATTTGTAGAAAAGGTGGTTTCTGTAATCCTTAAATTTAACATGCCTAATACAGTAATGGTACTTTATAGACCCTCAGACATGAGTAGATTCTAAGTTGTGACAATGCATACTTGAGAATAAAGTAAGTTTTCAGGAGTATACTTTTGATTATATTTCCTTTATTTAGGTTAAGATGGTAATTGTTTTTAAAAGATTCCACAGTAAGCAAAGTAGAAAACAGAAGAATCTGAACTGTTTACACATATGAAACACAAGGGATGATGGAAGGTGATCACAGGAGCCTTGCGAGGCTGGGCTGTTGGAGGGTAGGGTGGGGAAGGGCCCTGCCGCTGCAGACAGCCCGAGCAGGGGCAAGCCTGTGTGCACGTGTTCATGCCTCATGGAAGTGGTTACCAGTCACTAGAGCAGAACAAAACCTCTGCCCTTTGGAAGATCCGTCTTTATTAGAGTTTCTGAGATGTGATTTGAGTATGAGGCAAAGCAAAGGGATTAATGACAACCTGTTGTTCAGCCAACGATTTGGCTGCAATTTTGTGGGCTATTTTCATTATTCTATAAAGAGTTATTAAATACGGGGAGGGGCTTGAGCTTGAGGGAGATCCTGGAATACTCCTTTGATCATCTGGAACTCAGCCAGGGGGAGGGTCAGGGAAAACAGCCTTGCAGAAACAGTGCTCAGGATTCATAGTTTCTTTTAACATACAGAGCTTCCATTGGCTAAAGTCAAACACAGAAAAGCAGTGATAGTTTTGCAGATAATTTGTAATTTTTCAATATAGAAGAAGCATGAATTTGAATTACATTATTTTCAGGCACAGGCATGACAATAACATATACATGTTTGATGAATAGATATTTTTACTGCTCACCAGATGCCGACACTAATGGAGTGATACCTCACTGAGTCATTTACGAGAGTCTTATGCAAGTAATACCTCAGTGTTACAACTTGTATTTTGAAAGCAGGGCAGGAAAAGAATTATTGGATATATGTCATCATAACATTTTTGAGCTAAGAAACTTGGAGATCTCCTTTTCATGTCACAAATGAGTTAAGTCAAGAGAGGTCAAGTAACAAGGAAGGTTAAGTGATTGGCAGTCAGGACCATGTGGTTTCTGAACTCCAAAGGCCAGCATACTTTCCAAACAGTGTGAGTTTTAAGTCACCTCCTTTTTTAGTTTCTGTATAGCACTCTCTAAAATGTAAGGGAATCTTGATATCTGAGTTTCTGCCTTGGGGTAGAATCATCTCATGCTTCAGCAATGGTAAGGCAAGTTAATGAAGCACTTATTTTTGCTGAATAATTTGTGGTGTCATCATATAGGTGTTGGTTTGAAAAGCCACACTCTTTTATTAGCTTCTTGGTTGCAGGGCAGCTCTGGGAGTGGACTTGTGCATGAGTGTTAAGGATTAACTCCTTCTGCCTGCAAATGTGAAGCTAATCCTGCAGCTACAACACAATCGTAAAAAAAGGACATTAGATGGTACGCCTTCGATGATTACAACATCATCTCATGTCCCTCCCCTATAGTTAAAGACAGAATATCTTATATTCATCTGATGTAGATTTTGATGGACTTTTTGTTAAGACAGAATAGTTCCAGGTGTCAGTATCTTGGGGCTCTATTGAACAATTTGCCCCTTTCTGTCTACAAACACATCTACATAGGAAAAAGAAAAAAACCAGGATCGAGTTATATGAATTTAAGAATTTGTGCTGTTGATTGTATCTAAAATACTTCAAGTCAGTATATTAGTAGCATAGATAGGTTCATATTTTACTTCTTAGTTGAAGATAATTTTGCAATGAAAAATTTCAAGTAGCATTTTCTATGTCAAAGTGAAATGTCTAAATTTTGGTGGTCAGTGTATTCATTTAAATCCACTGCATAAAGAGTATACATTTAACCATAGGTTCCTTTCCCAGGTTAGGTTGGAGGTATGTTGCCATTGTAAGTGTCTGAACATGCTAATGGTTTATCCTGGTAACCTTTGTAACACAGGTCACTACATTTTCAGCACCTTCAATAGTCGGTATTGTTGAATCACAGTTCTCCAGGAGCAGGATCTGAGTTTTCAGCAAAGAGTGCCACCAGATGTCATTTTAGCCTTGTAAATAAGCAGTGTGGTCCCATGTGATACTGACAAAAATAAGTTACTTTGGTAGCAGCACAGACAGAAGAAGCAACACACTCCAGGGAGGGTTGTTGAACCTCTTGGAGGGGTGGGCACCTTAAGGATGTCCAGTTAGTTGGATGTTCTTTATTCATTGAAGTCTTGATTGTATAATTTTTAATTGTATATATTGCTGTTATTTGGATATTCTAAAAACCTTTAAACATCAGAAAACTGTACCATATAAATGCTGATGGTATTAATCTCCCCACCATAATATGATTTATGGGTCTCCTTAGAATGTCTGCTCTGTTTCTTGGATGTTCAAATGAGAGATAAACACTTCAAAACAGTTCTTTTAAAATATGCCTTTCCTTGAATTGACCACAGGACAGTTGTAAAAATACACACATGCGCACAAATACAGTATGAGGCTTTTTCCTGCTGTGAGAAACTAACTTTACTTTCCTCTTCGTACCCATTAACTTGGACTTGCTAGCAAATATGGAGAACACAGTCTGGGTGTCTTACCTGCACCTTTAAAATGTCATCATCAATCTCACACTTTCAAAAGTCAGACTTTGCCAGATACCACATTTCTTCACATTCTGTCTTGTTTAATTTTAGGCTAATTTGTCCTGACATTGCAGCCGCAGGCTCTGCGCTGCAGTCTGTCATTAGAGCACCAGGAACAATCTGGATGGCTGGGACTGTTGGAAGTTAATTTGGCGTAAACTTAACATTCAAAGATTTCTCGAGATATGACATGTCATGTCTATATCCAGTCACACTTCTGTTCAAGAAGTTCTTGTTTGTATTATAAATATGACCTTTACAGTTATTTTTCAAAGTGCCTTGTTCTAAGTGCCTGGTTCTTTGAAGAGGACCCCTGAGGAGCTGTGGAGATACTAGACTTGTTAAATATGTTCCATAGGAATGTCAGTGTCCATGTGGATGTCCCTTTTCCTTCTGTTTTCTTTTAAGTCGTATAGCATCCCTGTCAGCTGGTGGCAGACTATGGTATTGGAGTCTTGTGATAAAAGTTGATCCTGGGTAATCAAAGGTATAGTTCCATACTTTTTAGCCAGGGGCCACTATTAAGAGTTTTCAAGGTAAGATAATCCCTAGATTATCTTAATTCTTGCACTTAAACAGACCAGTTAGCGTACTCTAAATTCTTGCACTTAACAGACCAGTTAGCGTACATTGGTTACTGATTTTGAGATCAAGATCCAGTCAACCCTATTTTCCTGATGAGAAAGGAACTGGATGTCCTCCTCTGTTTCTTAGACATTTGAGTAAGAGGATATGGTGGTGGAGTATAATTCTCTGACGTAGGTTAAGCATCTACCCAACCTTGCGAACCACCATTGACACCAACCAATTCTGTACTTCCTTTAGGGGTCTCCTTACCAGGTGCTAGCTCCCAGTCCACATAACCCATCCCTATAGGGGAGAAATCACAGCAGTCTGGTGTTCAGTGAGTTGCCTGAGCCACACCACTCAGATTCTCTAGTGTTGGCACAGCCATGAATTTACACTTAAGCTGTTTGGGTGTGCGCTTCAGATTTGTCCTTTACGTTCTGCTAAAGACTCTTTGAGACAAAGTGAAAGATCGCGAGCCTTAGCTTGAACTGACTGGTGTCATGGCAACTAGCACTTCACCTTTCGCTGGTCCCCATCTCATACATTAATAATTCATTATGCAGTGCCAGATTTCTGTGTGCTGTCAGACTGTGTCAAGGACAGAATATGCTGTGCTATCTCAGATGTCATCTACCAGACTGTTGAGGGCAAGAGTAATTAGAAAAGAAAACTAGTCAGGTTTCTTGGGAAAATTCCTGAAAGTGGGATGCTTTCTCGCCGCTCATAGCATTTTTCTTGTAAAGTAAGGGATAGAATTCATGTTGATCAAAGTTTATTTGGTAATGTGCTCCAGACATAAGGCAGGAGTTTGGTTGTGGAAATAATGCATGAGCAGTAATTGCTTGCCTCCATTCAGGCAGCAAAGAAAATGATTAACAGCCTTAGTGCTCAGTCATGTGGATCAGGCTCCAGGGTGAACCCTGAAAACTCAAGTTTAAAAAGAAATTTGATCAATCCCTATGTGAATGCTCTTGTCCCTGGTGCACAGTAGGAGCTGAGTGTTTGACATCAGTTTTGAAAGACAAGCAGTCTGGGTTCTGAGGCCGACTTTGGCCTTGGGTGCTTAGTTCACTTCTCACTTTTCTCAGCACCTCAGTTTTCCTGACACTGTTTGTAGTTGTCACAGTAATTGTAGTATTAGACCTGTGAGTGGTAAGTCTTTCTGAATGAAGAATATAGGCCTTTGTCTTGGAATGAGAAAATACAATGACACATCGGATTTGATTCATACAGGCCAGATCTGTCTCTGATCAGGCAAGAAATGATGTGTTTTAAACAAAACATTGATCTAACATTACTTTTTTCTAAACTAACCCCTTCCTCTGAAAAGAAATCTTCAGATTAAAACAAACCTATGTTACTCTTTACTAGCTACTTAAAGTGAAGCATATTTCCCTGAAAAATATATTTACATCCCACAGTTGGAAAAGGTTTGTCACTTAGCCCTGTTTGGATTCTTTTGTTTCTCTTTCTTTTTCCTTTATGTACAAAACCAGGGGCTTAAATGTCCCTTCAAGCTACTTTGGCGAGGGCACAAGAGGAAGAAACTCAAATGACATTTTTTTGTAGAACATGAAGCCATAAGACCCTGCTTTAGTGAGGGATAAACTAGAACTGCTTTATATTTGATGTTCTGATTTAACACAGTTAAGTGCTGGTGAGTATAAATTCTGCATAGATACTGGAAGGGGACCCGCTATCATTTTCTCATTGCTGGTCAGATCAGAATAGAGAACTTGCATGTAGTAGATGTTCAAGAAACGCTTGTTGAATAAATAAGTTAACACTACTAGACTAATTTGAGGGGAGAGGACATTCATTAGTTTGAGAAACTTGGCAACAAATCAAGCTTTAAAAACTGTTAGGAATATGTTAATCTTCTATCACCTACTTCTCTATATGGTGCTGGGACCTTGATTAGTCATTTAGACGTTGATAGCAACACTGTGGCACATGACTATAGGAAGTCATTAGAGCCAGCCCATTTGGGTGCCTGTGATTCTGGGCAGGGCCAGCCACCAGCCAGAGTTAGAGGGGACACTGCCATGTGATGGTCACAGTGAGGGCACCAAGTAGCATATTCTTATTGGTATTTTATACTGTGTGTAATTTCTTGAGATGTAACACTGAGTTATACTTAAGAACTTAAAAATAGGGCCCCTCCTTCTAAATCTATACTCGTATTTCAAAACTAAACAAACTTTTAATACTTAAAAATGATTTCTGAATACCATCAAGAATAAATTTTATACTTTTTAACTAATTGGAAACAATCATAACTGGATACTTAAAAGAACACTTATAGACTTAATTACTTAGGGATAGGTTTTCTGGTTTAGCTTAGAATATATAAGCTGCTTTGCAATGCTGCCTTATTGCAGTTCTGTGCTATAAAGGCTGTATGTAAGCTATAGAGCCTAAAGGTGAACCTGTAATGACTGCAAATACCACAGCTTGCCTTTTTTTGGCTATCAAGCAGACAAAAATCATAATTACAACCTTACCCATTCCTGCTTACTACTACAAAGAAGTAAAATCAAGCTGAAACGTGTATCTCTCATACATGCAGCACTGTGGCGGGTCTGTGAAGTATGTGAGGAGTCAGATCACTTTTTTCGACGGTCCTGTCACAGCGTAGTAGTTCTCCCTTAATAGTTGAAAGAGTCTGTATCTTCCAGCCTAGTCGGGGTAACCAGACAGATGAAAATAATTAAAATCAAACTACCATAAAACATGTTATGGTGAACAGTACCAAATGTACATCTTAAATATGGACAAAGTCAAGGTGAATAGAATAATATTAGATAAAGACTTAACACCCTGACTACTTTTGATAGAGAAATATTGGGAAACTCCAGTGACAAGAGCACTGTCAGGCATAAGAGGCAATGTTATACTTTGATGAATATTATACTTTGTGATGAATATTATACACTTTAAATTACATAGGAGGGCATCCAAGATAGATTGTCAGAGAAGAGGTCACAGGTAAACTTACAGGTGAGAATAAGCGTGACATAGGTGACAACAGTGAGGAGGCCCAGACAAATGGGGTCCAAGTTGGGGGGCAAGGGGTGTTAACATGCTGGTCAGGAGTCAGACTAGGGAAGACCTTAGGATATGTCACCAAGATTCACTTGGCAATTGTACATGTCATGTATTGGAACATGGAAAAACTTCAGAATTAATCGAATGACTTTTTGATCTTGATCTTACAAAAATTATCATAACAAATTAGATGTTTTTGCAAAAATTCAGTGACCCGTTAGTCAGGAAACTCGCTGAGAAGGGAATGCAGCTCTCCTTAAAGTCCATTGTATAGTGTTTGAGTTTTTTAACTTCATAAATCACGGGAAGCTGTGTTGGCAATGGGCTATAACTCAACAGTAGACAGATTGCTCTTTGCTGCTTTCTTTTAAGAAGCAGGTTATAAAACTGTTGGGAGCCTGGTAAAGTAGTTCATAGATCATCTTAAGCAATTTGAAGTAATTTTAAAAAAAATACAGCCTTGTATCTTGAAGGCAATAGAGCTAGAGGGAGAAGAGAATTTAGTGAGTAAGAAATCCATGCTGCCTGAGTCCACTGTCCTGGAATTTGTCCTCAGGCTCTGCTACACTGAGTGGCCAGTCACCTGCCTCTGTGGGAAAGTCACTCCCCAGCACACCCTACAGTAGGGTGTGGTCATTCAGAAGTTTTTGTCAATGCAGAGTTAGCATTATGACACAATTTTCATTAAAATGACTCTGTACTTTTACCCAGTTTTTTTTAATATTCTAGAATATCTTCTGTTAATGCACTTTTGCAATAAAGCTCTATGTGCTAGAATATGATGCTGGGACATCCCTTCATTCATGGGTTTATCACTGTTTTGACGTAACTGTTAGGAAAATATTAATACAAGACTCTGTGGGGAGTCTGGAGGCTTCTCACAGACCATGAGATAGCTGTAGTCAAGTGTCATGAGCATGAAAAGATCTCTGACTGGGATCATTTAGATTGACGGATAGCTATCACTTGAAAGGTGATAAAGAGCCTTATACTGATGGCTTTCTTTTCATATGGACCTTGTCCCCAAAGGACCCTCTGTTACAGTCTTGTTGGTCACAGCTGATAATAGGCCTGCCATGCCAATGACAGGGTACAAGGTTAACCAGACACTTAAAGGATCTTCTGTTTTTGATAAATGTAAAATTTTGTTCTGTGATGTTGGGTTGGGTTTTAGATGAAACTTTTTTTTAAGTTTTTATTTATTCATTTCTAAAAAGGGGGAAGAAAGGGAGAAAAACATGGATTAGTTGCCTCTCACCCGCCCCCAACTGGGGACCTGGCCTACAACCAAGGATTGTGCCCTGATCAGGACTCAAACTAGCAACCTTTGGGTTCGCAGGCCAGTACTCAACCCACTGAGCCACACCAGTTAGGGCTCAATGAAACTCTTAATGTCAGTTCTGAAGCCTGCACCTCACTTTTCTTTCAGACCACGAAGGCTTTTCTTCCTACCATGCTGGAGATTAATCACGGTCATATTGTGACAGTTGCAAGTTCCTTGGGATTGTTCAGTACTGCTGGAGTCGAGGTTTGTCAGCTATAAAACATTTCCTTCATTCAGTTGCTTTATCTCCTGACACCCCCAAATCCTAAGAGGAGTAGCTGCTGCTTGGATGTTCCTGAAAGCCTTCTACCAGGGTTAGGTCACCCTGAGGTGACCTAACCCTGATCTAGTGTGACCTAACAGCAGCAGGGAAAGAAGGCGCTGCGCCGGTCCTCAGTGTGCCCCATTCCCACTAGCAGTTTTGCTTGGTGACGATGGGAAGACAGAGTGTCAAGATTGAAGCCGTGGAGAGCCACAGCAGTGTCACAGGGAGCAGATAAATGAGGCTAAAGGTTGACCTTCTGTTTTGGTCAACTTGCCAAAAGTGAGCTATCTCATGTCAGCTCATCAGGTGAGATGGTTGTGGCAGATGTGAGGGGGTCTGCACTGTAAGTTTGTGGAACTGGCCCCAGTCAAACCCTGTTCTTCACTGTATTCAAATTATAAAGCATATGTATGTGTGTTATTCCATGCTGTTTGTCCTGTGGGTGGCTGTAGTGTTAACAGTGAAAGCATCACCCCACACAAATACACAAAAGGAAAAAACAGAAAAAAAGGTATGCAAAAGGACACAGGATAGATGGCTTCTACAAATCATAGTCATTGCTAAATTTAAAGTTGGGTAATGGAGAACTTCGTTATTGTATGTTTCCTTAGGTTAAGTTCTAGTTTAAGTTCACAAAGTAGAGTTCTTTTCATTTGTACTTCATCCTAAAAAGAAAATCAGATCATAACAATTTATAACCTAAGCTAGACTCGCCTTTGTTCTCCTAGCATTAATTTAAACAAACTGTTTTTCAGTTTCCTTTGCTGAACAAGAGGCCATTTGTAAATTTTCCAGACACTTCAAAGTGAACCTCTCCATTTTTAACTCCAGCTCATTGGCTTTCGTAGTCCTTTGCGGTAACTTCCCCAAAGTAATATGATACTTCGTTGATGTGGCAAAAAGTCTTCATCTGTTTTTGCTGTTGCTTTGAAAATATTTTTTCTGTACTGAACCACATCAGATATCTGTCTTTTAAAACGCTTTCCTTTTCTTTGCTTAGTCACCTGTAACCTTTTGTAGCAAACATGTAACCAGAGTAATAGGCCAGGGAGGAAGCCTGGGTTTGGTCTGGTATCTGTGCATGTACTTCCTCTGTGCATTGCCCTCCTCTCTCCCTCTTAACTCAGGATTACTGTGCCAGTAAATTTGGAGTCGTGGGTTTCCATGAATCCCTGAGCCATGAGTTAAAGGCTGCTGAAAAGGATGGAATTAAAACAACGTTGGTTTGCCCTTACCTGGTAGACACAGGCATGTTCAGAGGCTGCCGGATCAGGTTGGTGAGAACCTATATTATTACTGATAAAAAGCTGTTTTAAAAATCACCTTTCCATATCAGGAGAATATGTGAAATTGGATCCTCAAACATAGTCAGCCTTGCACTTTGACTGTTATTTGACAGTCATCCTGTAGTTTTCATTGGTCAAAGGCTTTGTAAAACTGAGGTAAGAAAGATTAACAAGCAAGGGTCTGGCGCCACACTGGTATCACCTTGCAGAAGTCAGTCTAGAAGCATCAGACATAACATGGCTTCCCTACATCTTCAAGAAAAGAAAACATAGATACTAAGGGTTTTCCTTAGGAGCCACTTCTTTAGGAGATATTTTATTTCTTTAGAACTAGTGTTGGAATGTGAATGTCACAGAAGAGTTACACTCTAAATTTGGTAGCTTTCTTTCTACAAAGAATATATGTAGCTAGATTCACTCTGACAGAATGAGAAGGGACAATTCAGTTTACTAGACATGAAATAAAATACCCACCCACTTTGAAAGGAGGCATATGGGAATATAAATGTCAAATCACATCTGACTTGAGCTAAGCAAAATAAACAACACCATGAATCATTAAGAAGGTACTTGTGAAGACATGCTTGCTTTAAGATCTTTGCTTGGATGAATTTGAAAGGCAAAGGAAGATAACCCAACGAGTTCCCTATTGGTCACATCCTGAACCTGACCAAACAGTGAAATAGGTGGAAGGTGATTTGAGTCATTGCATTCTCAGCCTGACTCCTTTCCTCTGTGTATATGTGTGTGTGTGTGTGGTGTTTCCCTCTTAAGTATTAGGAATCAGTTGCTGGGGTCTAAAGAACTCTGTTTCCTATTTAGCATCACAGCCAGTGTCCAAAGCCATAGTGGGGCAAAGAAAAGTAAAAGGAATAAATTATATTATTAGGCTATTTCAACATGTAACTTATTGAATTCAGCTGAAGGTAGATGTCTCAATGTAGTTCACGTCAGAGCCCCAGAGAAAATGCCTTGGCTTCTCCCTATTCCAACATCCGGGAAAGTATGTAGCTGACTTTTACTTCACTCAGAAAGGCTATGCCAGTGTTTGCACACCATTATCTGAACCACACTGAATACTAAAAGTTTGGCATCTTGGTTGGGTTTAGTGTTTGTTATGCCAAACACCCTTTCCTTTTTATGTTGAAAGGAAAAAAATAGAAAAGTAATTTGAAATACCTTTTGAGGCTATTTAAAACTTGACTCCCTGCAGAAAAGCAGACCAATTTTGCCTTTTTTCTTTAACCTTTTTTCTAGGCTATGCCCATTCACAGTAGGAAAATTTAGAAAATACGGAAAAGCACAATGAAGTAAACAAAGTGGACCCAAAACCTTTGTTACTCAAGTAACATCACTATTAATGTTCCAATATGTGTTTTCAGTTCTTGCCTACTTTGTGTTCATTCTTAATTGCGTTGTTTTAATTATATAACTTTCAGGAAAGAAATTGAGCCTTTTCTGCCCCCTCTGAAGCCCGATTACTGTGTACAGCAAGCCATGAGGGCCATCCTCACTGACCAGCCCATGATCTGTACCCCGCGCCTCATGTACATCGTGACTTTCATGAAGAGGTAACTGAGGGATCCCTCTTGGGTCCAGTGTTTCCATATCCACCCCCATAATTTAATTAACATCTCACATTTGCTAACAACTGCGGCTTTCCTTTTCAGCATCCTCCCTTTTGAAGCAGTTGTGTGCATGTATCGGTTCCTAGGAGCGGACAAGTGTATGTACCCTTTTATTGCTCAAAGAAAACAAGCCACAAACAATAATGAAGCAAAAAATGGAATCTAAGAATCTTTTTTGTGTGGAACATCATTTCTCTCAGAAGACGATCAGGATGTTTCAGTTCAGTGCACATCAGCATTACTGACATTCTCTGGATTCTAAATCCATGTTGACTTTTTTAAATCAACTTTTTTAAATAAATAAAATAAAATAAAATAAAATAAAATAAAGTGTAAATTAACCAACTAGAGTACTTGGAAAACATGATCAGCAAAAGTGAGGTCAGGTTGTTGCCAGCAGGGTCCTTTTTAGGCAGAACCCTAAAACCAGACTTTTCTTTTAGACAAGCAATGTGTGCTGTCTCCAGGCGACCATTACTTTTTTTAATGAGTAGAAAGCCTAGAGATGATAACTACAGTGTGTTTCACATGTGCGGCTTTTCTTAATTCCCATAGAATTGATTAATTCTTGTCATTAAACTCTAGCTAGTTGACACCCTTGCTACTTCAAGGACTGATAGTGCTATGTTTTCTCATGTTTTCTGTTTCAGTTTTGCAAAATCTCTGTGGTTCTTTCATGGTGTTTATGTGTGTAGCTCTTTTGAAATGGAATTTTGAAATCTCCATCAGTTTGAATTAAATGATGTTTGATTGTTAGAGTAAGATGATCAGGTCTCTTTCATAAAGTCATAGTGACTAAGGTGTTAGCCAATTATTTAAAATTTGCCTCTGAAATCTTTCCTTGAGTATCAGTTATTCTGGAGACCTAGTTATCCAAAAAAAGATCATGTATTTTCTACCTATGAATTTTGCTGCGTACAGAAAGTGCCCTTTCCTTGGGAAATTGCTGTATAATTTCCTTGGGTGGACTTTTATCTAGGATTCATAGCAGCTCTGCAAAGAAAGCATTTTTAAAAGTGGGAACTTCTAAACTTAAAAAAATCCTCATTTTTGTGCCAACTATGATTAGTGAGGGGAGAAAATCTTATACCATGGAGTACATATGGAAGGGTGTAAAGATTCTTTTGAAAGTTTATTCACCTTGTACAACAGCAAATGACATTTTTACAGTATTTTTTTGTAAAGCAAACTATTTGGTGCCTTGAATTTGGTAAATGTGTATTAGTGAAATGTAAAAGTGAACTTCTACCTCTGTATCTAAATGTATACCATCCACTTGTAAATGACTATAAACTATTATGTGATTGCTTTTTTTTAGAATGTCTTGTTAAATAGTGACCAATGTTTAAGGCTATTAAAATAAGCCATCTTTTACTAATTAATTGGAAAGTTTTATAAAAGACTGATTAAATTTAAAGAATTAACTTATAACTGAGTATGTAATTTATTTGCTATCAGCAGTGTTGAAGGGAAAACTGTGTTTTCTTCTCTGTGCCGTATCACTCCTTAAAGAGAAGTGTTTGAATGGGACAGTGTTTCAGAGCCAACATAGTTCAGGGTGCCATGCACTCAGATTTGCCTAGATTAGACCCACCCTTTATCAGGGGCTTGTTTATGCTAAAGTGGGAAAATAGAAAGAAACCCATTCCCTGTGCGTGTGGCTGCAGTGTGGATCAAATCCGCACTGTCGCATACAGAAATGCCCTGGCTCACGGCTGCTGTCCCACTGCTGGTCTTTATGAGGAATAGCTTCATGTTATGTTTGAATTTTTTTTTATCAGTGATGACCAAGCCTGAGGCCATTAAAACAACTGAGGCACTGGCTGTCTCTTCACTTTCCATTTTGAATTTAAAGAAGTACTTTAAAGTAGTCTTACAGCAATGTGGGCAGAGACATATCTCGGAGGTGATTCAGGTGTGTCTGAGTTAGCCCCAAGCACACTCAAACCGGCCTAGAGAAATCTGTTCTACTTTAGTGACCCATTTATCTATCTCAAGACTAAGGAAACTTCCTTGTGTTTAATTTTATTCTCATGTGTTGGTAATTTAAACCTATTTCTATTTTTGTTTGTTATTGCCCTTGTAAGGTTCTCCATTTCTGAGTTCAGTGAACGTAATTCATTTAACTTTTTTTGTAGAAGCCTTCAATATCCATGCCCCAGCCTAGTTTAATTATCTGCGGCTCTCCTTTGAACATTGTCCAGATTCTCTGGCTGTGGAGTTGGAAGGGGATACAGTTAATGCAAGGTTAGGAGTCCAGGCCTCCACCATGTTGTAGTTATTCATCTCAGCATCACAGTCTTAGTTTACAATGCAACACCTGTGACTGCTGTTCCCCTCAAATGTGAGCTCTCTTCCCATCAAGCCTGCATACTGATGTTGCTCACTTAAGTAATTGCCAAGGTTGCTGTTCTTGCTGATTATTCATCTATACCCCCATCCCCACCCCACCTTATATTCATGCTGGCTGGCTTTGAATATGTTCTCTTTGCTGTCATCTGGCCCAGTCAGGTGAATGTCCAGAGCCAGTGGGCTCAAGGCTGACCTCTAGTTAGACCACATCTGTCCCCCAGCTAGAACTGGCTCATGAGAGTGCATCCTCCCTCTCTCTCTCTCTCTCTCCCCACCACACACACACACACACCCTTTCAACCAGCTTAATGATAATCATATTGAGTGGGACCCAGGAATCACAAAGCTGGCAAGGATGAATTCCAACCATTGTTTTCCCCCTTGATCTACCAGGTCTGCTGCTCTGTCACAAAAGATTAGGTCAGCTTGACAGGATTCCACTGCATGAAGCCAGGCTGGGTTTTCTTTTCTTTTCTTTTTTCTTTTCTTTTCTTTTCTTTCTTTTCTTTTCAAGTATCCTGTTTCCTTGAAAGGCTATACCTTTCAAATTTTTCCCAAGTTAAAAAAATGTCTTTTTCAAAGTTTTCTTTTCCAACTGGCAAAAATACTTCCAAATTGATGTTGACCTGAACCTTGGATATTTCCTTTTGCCTCCAACAAAATATAAAATCAGTTGAGGTTGAGGAAACAGGGTAGTTCTTTCCATGTCAGATCTATTGCCTGTGTCTGATTTTAAAAGTGGAATAGAGACAGCAAGGCTGTGATGGGCCTGCTGGGCTGGGACCTGGGGCCAGGGAGTAGATGGTTAGCATTGGCCCACAGGCAATTTAGGAGGCATACCCAGCATCTAGGCCAAGGGCCTCTCCCAGGGACTCAAGTAGCTTACAGAGAACTTACAAGGTCAGATCCAAGTATCTTTCTGTGCAGATGGTACAAATGAAGCCTCCAAGTGTGATGAGGTCTCAGCAAGGTGGGGAGGCAGACAGTGGCAATTGAGGTTAGCCTTGAAGGTTTGGGATGCAACAGGAGGAGAAGAGAATGAGAGCTGGGCTATGCCAAGAAGCGGGCTATCCAGAAAGACCTAGAGAATGAAAAAGTAAGATTACACTTATACCTCAAACAGGACGTAGATAGAGAATGACATGCTCTCCCTAAAGAAGTCCCATCTTGAAACAGCCTTCATTCCAGGAGGAGGAATGGGTATGGTTCACTTGACAGGGAAGAGAAAAGCCCTGGGGAATTTTCTAGTAGCTACACAAACAGAGTTGTGAGGTTAACGGAGTCAGCTGGGTGCTATAAAGAATCTTGGGACACCAGTTGGGACAGAAGCCAGAGCAGGAATCCAGCCAGGAGGAGGGGGACCTGACAGTGAGAAGAGAGGGCCCAGAGGGTATGTGGACCATGAGGCTTGACAACAGATGCACAGGGGACTTGACTTTTATGACAAGCATGCTCGTCATGAACCAGGTTGTTTGTAAGTGGGAGCAGCAGAACGAACCATGAATCTAATGTCAGAAACATTGGCCTGGAGATGACAATAACTGACAGACAGGACAGACAGGTAGATGTCTAGATCCTGTTCCCAGGAAAAAGGCCAGTGCTAAGATTCCAGTCCTCTGCAGAGAAGCTATGAAGTGAATGAACCTGGGAGGGGGAAACCCAGGATGAGAAGGTCTGGGGACCCAAACTTGGGGAACATGAAGAGCAGCTGGGGAAGAAGTCATGAAAGGTGACATTGGAATAAAATTAGGAGGGGAACTTCCTCCACCCAAGGAGAAACCAGACTAGAAACAACTATCTCCTCTGCCTGGACCTAATCTCTAGTCTGAGTCACACTTAAGCAACCTCAGTCTGGCCCAAGAAAATAGTCCACGTGGCCAGTCCTGGGATCACAGCCCAAAGGTGAAGACAGATAGGACATGGAGCTTTCACTGGCAGGCATTTGGGTTTCTAGTAACTGAATCCATTGTTCAGGCGACCAGAGGAAAATGTCTTCCTAAGTGAAAGCTATTGTTCTTTTGCAATTTTTTCAGCTTGGCCTCAGAAGCATGCCTTGCTTAAATGTTTAGGCAATGGTTCATGAGAACCCCAGGGAAAAACAAAATGCATTTCAGTATCACCAAATGGATACATGTTAGTTCAAATGCTCATTTCCATGTGCCAGAAAGATGGGGCACCACAAGCTTCTTACCAGCCTGCCCAACAGAACAGGATCCTATGCAGGTCCCTCCAGTACTGCTCAGGCAGGCCAACAACTGCTCCCGCAGGCCCCAGGCCAAGAGGGACATCACCACACTCCCTGCTCTCCCCGGAAATGCCAGGCAGAACATGCAACCACAGTTGCATTAGGTACTATTCAGGTACTACTAATTATGACTCTCCCTGCAGCCTGCTGTTCCTACATTACAGTAGCTATTTCACTGCACTTAACATTTCCACGACTCTCTGGGGAAGCATTGAAACTGTGCCATCACTAGTCTAGAATTCTCCTCACTGAGTAATTATTTCCCCTTTAACTTGCTCCACTTCTGTAGACAACTTAAGATGTCTTCTAGGAGCTTCTCACAAGTTGTTTAGCTGTAATTGTGGAAACCTTTCTAACCACTAGCCAAAAGCAAGAGAATCAATTAGCAAGAAAAACAAAGCATCTCCAGTCCAAATCTAAGTTTGAGGTTTTCCTGTCAAGGTGATTTAAACCATGGTGTAGGGAGAGATGTGTGTTCATAGCAGCCATGAAAAATGCCCCCATGCCTTGCCCGCATGTCCTGGGTGGTCCACCTGGATGCCACTTGGCAGGCCTCCCCTCCCACAGAGCAACAGAGCCCGTGCCTGGCTCCTCCATCCTGGCCTTCTGCCTACAGGTATGTGTCTCCCCATTCCTCTTGGCTCTTTGCATGGCCCAGGAGGCCAGCGGGCAGGTGGGGGTTCTGGCCCCGACCCAGGCACACAATGTCTTGCAGGTGTAGTGTTCCCATTTAGGAGCTCAGTATTGTAAGTTGACTTATGTACCCCTGCCAAAAGATAATGTTGTCCTCACCCTTAGTTCCTGTATATATGACCATTTTGCAAAAAGGATCTTTGCAGATGTAATCATGATGAGATCATATTAGATCTGTTGGGCCCTAAATCCAATCACTGGCATCCTTTTAAGAAAACGGACTAAGGAGCATTCTCCCCCACCTCATCTGTCTCTTGCTTCAGTGGTGTTTGGACAGATCAGACCCAGGGACACACCTTCTTCCAGCCTCCAACCACCTCCATACCTCTTTCTAGTCACCACCTATAGAACCATCTCAGCCATCTTTTGTCCTGAGAGCAACCAACACACCATTTTTGAGCTTACCTACCTATTGCTGGGCAACCATGGGCTCCCAAATTTGTCAGAATTATTCCACTGAGGTGGAGGCCTCAGCCATCTGGCCACCCTGCATCTGCGGCCCTCCTATACCTGCCTCTCTCTCTGGCCTCCTTTTTCTGAGAGTTGGCTGAGGAGAAGAGCTCCCAGTAGCTACTGAAGATGTAAAACCAGTGCATGACCATATTCTCTTCCAGGATGTGCTGAAGCTGTTCCAAGATGATTGGGGCGACATTCAGAATGCCACAGAAATTGTCATGGTCCTGAGAAGAACCTGACCCAGGCCCTTTTGGATCTGCAGGCCCTGAGTTCTGCCTACACAGACCCTCATCTCTTCCTGACTTCCTGAAGAACTACTTCCTGTATGAGCAGATGAAACCCATCAAGAAGATGGGCTACACCTGACTGGCCCTGAGGCTGGTCTGGGCGAGTGTTTCTTTAAAAGGGTCAGCTTCAAGCACTAGGAGCCTTTGGAGCCCAGAAGCCTTTGAGGGATCCCTCTGCATCCCCAGGGTGTTTGGCTTCTGCCTGAGCCTCTCCCTGCCAGTACTAGGCAGTATTTTAACCACCTGGAGCCCTCTTCAATGCCAAGGAAGGGAGGGAGTGAGGGAGGGAAAGAGAGAGAGAGAGGAAAGAAAGAAAAAGATAGAGAGAGAAAACAAAGAGAAAGAAAGAAAGAAAGAGAGAGAGAGAAGAAAAGAAAAAGAAAGAGAAAAAGAGA